GCCCAGAAGTGATTTATTTGTTTAGGGGAGGTTGAATGGTTTTAATATTGCATGCACTGATCAGTAATTTTAATGACCTAAGAAGCACATGTTATTTTTCTTCCTCCTGTGCCTGAGTAAATTGCAACATGCTCATTAGTCGTGTAATAATTTTAAATCCCTTCTGAAAAGACTTTGTGCTTTAAAGTTTGGCTTTTTTTTTATTCACAAAGAGATGTGGTGCTTGTTATTACTCTCAACACACAGCTGGAGTTCTGTGACACAACAGAAGACTTAGAACACACCATCAGGCTGATGCAAGCTCATTAACACTAATATACAGTGCAATCATTATCACTAATATACACTGGGGCAGCAGTTCACCTTTCAGCACGACATACAGCTAACACAACACTGAAGTGGCTTCTGAAGTCTGACTGTCCTTGAGTGGCCGAGCCAAAGCACAAACTTACACCCTGAAGAACATCTGTGGAGAGACCTGAAGATGGATGTTCACAGACACTTCCCATCTAATCTAACAGAGCTCGAGTCAAGCTGCCAGCTTGCTCCTGCTCACTGACGCACACAAACGCACAGAGCGAAGCGAAGCAGACGAGGGGTAACTATATTTTGCTTGAGTTGATCACAATGCTCATTAACCACCGACCTTGTGTGTTTGACACAGTTGGCAAATAAAACCGGCTCCGATTCATATGTGCAACAAAATCTGCCAGTAATGGAGACAAAACAAGCAAATTCTCAAATATCTGCTAAACAAGTACAACACAATGCTGTGGAAATGCGAAGTCTTCACTGATTTGTCCGCAGTAAACTCGCCCATATACCAGTATACGATCTCTGCCCAGCTCTTCAGATATTTCTTGAAATTACAATAAATTCAAATGCAACAAAACTTGCTGATCAAGCAGAAATAACTGTTTTCAGTTGTTAAACATCTGCCCATTAGCCAAAGGCAAATCCCCATTTGGTTGAGGGAGGTGTATTGCCTACCAATCTATTATCAAATGCTTGTTTGTTTAATTAAATAGTTAAGTGCTGACTTAATTACTTTGAAAATACTGATGTTGGACATACACTTGGTATTTTACTAATTTTTTCAGTAGGCATAAAGATTAAAGGCCATGACATTAGCTGTGGATAACTAGTGTTCCTTCCACTGGAGTCGCCCAGCCAAAGAGGATTCAGCTGAAGCAGGTCCCTCCCCCACGTAAAAAGGCCTCTTGTTATGTGTTGTGCCCCTGAATGCAGTGCTTCACAGCCGACTGGGTTCCATCATCATTCCAGCTACCTAATGAGTGACTGTTTGTGGGCTGATAAAATTAAATTGCAAGCCTCGCTGATTTCAGCAACAGGTGTATTTTTTTCCTGTCTCATAATAACACGAGAGACCGGGGTTTTGAGCACCTATTCAGCATGATAATGGAGTCTGGTTTACAAATTCTTTTGGTTTACCATTCCCCTCCCACATGCGGCAAAAGAAAAAAAAGATTTAATCAATTACGAGATTAATTCAAGATGGAACACTTGAATGTCTCTGAACAGTGAACATCTCATTTCTTTGAAGATAGGATTCTTATCTTATGTTAGTCCATGTTTTTTTCTGCAATTAATTCACATTCAGTAATTATATCTCAATACGGTTAGTTTTTTTCTATTGTTAGAGGCACAGTCTCTGTACTGGATGAGAAGTTCCCCTCATATTCCATGCATGTGATCCACTGTGGTTTCATCTCACTGATAGCAGCCTCTCTGTTTACCGTTCCCTCTCTCTACTTCACATCACAGCTGTATTAAATTACTGTTAATGTAAACAGAACATTCCACTGCTGTGTCACATTAAAGACATTCAACTGGCAAAACAGGCTTCTATTGTGAACAAGCTGCAGGGAACACAATGCATTTGTCAAAACCGCTTGATGCCAAGAGAATTTTCTGCATTTTTTTTTTTCCAGTAGCAGATCAGATTTAAATATTGCAGGAAGTAATTTTACAACAAGTAGCACCCACAGTGAGCTGTTAGATAAAGAGCTGCAGGCAACAGGCTGCACACCTCCAATTCAGCAAGGTAAGCAAATACAGTTGTGTGGAAAAGTACTCGCGCTGTGTGCAGCGTTAAATTAGAGTGTGGTTGCTCATGGCATCAAGAAAAAAAAAAAAATGTTTGTCGTGAGACAACTTCATTTTATTCTCCAGGAATATTCTCGTGTGTCCAGGACTTTTCACAACTGGGTAAGAAAAACAATGGCACCAATTAAACCCAAGTATAAAACAGAGCAGGGTCAATGATTTGTCACAGTGGTCATATCCAAACTAGCATCAAAACTCGACGGCTGGTTGCACGTTCTGGTGTGTTGGTTGTGTTTTTCCATGCAAACACACAGAACAATTTGTTTACACATACCAGAGATCGAGTCATGAAAACTGATGCCAGGTTTGTACTGTTGTGGTAAAATGATGTAAAATCTCAGTTTTATTGTTTGGTAGTACTATTTCTGAAAAGGTTGTGACTGTTTTAACCATATGTACAGTTAAATATAAATGAAATAACAGGATTCATCCCAGAAAGCTGTTTGGTTGAAAACCAACTAGTGGTAGCTGCAGAGCAGGTAGTGTGGTGCCTTTAGCAGATGCTTTTGTTTTGTTTTGTCTTCCAAGTAATAATTATCAGAGGTTTTTACTACACTGGTTACATGTATGTAGTGCATAGTCACTGCTGGCAAACTGTTGTTAGGTGCCCGTGCTTCAAACGTGCCACTACCTGGGTTGGGGGATTTGCATCAAACCTCCATTTCAGCCACCTTCTTCAACAGAATTTAAATTGTTCTTTCATCCAAAGCACTTCTTAATGAAATCATATCGGCAAGTACTTAATATGATAATCTCATTTATGATCATCTGTTGGGGTGTGAATATGCCATGACTTCTGTAAACAAAAGTAGTTCTGCTCAGTGGCAGGATTCACTTCCAAGCCTTCAGAGAAATAAAATGTTTTAATAGCCTCTTTTCCTGTTAATGATATTCCGTTCGTTCTTAACACACCATTGCACAGATATTGAAACCATTCATTTCTGAAATGGGGAAAAGGGACCCACAGAGAACTCAATCTGAATGTTGTATTCTTGTCAGTTTTCTCTGATAACATTTTTTTAATTTTTTAAGATCGTCTACTCAGTGAATTTACAGATTTTATAGATTTCCCTGCACCTTGATGTTTTGGTCAATTTCATATTTACTTTCATTTTTCACAAGAGCCAAAACATCCTTCAGATAAAACGTCATCCTATATCCTCCAATGCAGTACTGACAGACAAGCCTCTTGCAAACCAAATATTTCAGGGCCTTTGTCACATTACTTGGAAGATGATGAGCCCACAGAGAATCATCATTGTCCAGTAAGACTTGTGGTACTGGACTGTGTGTTTATATCAACAAGGAAGGTGCGTCAGTGGCATGTGGCTGTGTCCAAACACTGCTCCCCGCTGGTAGAGTTTATGACTGAAGTGCAGGCCATACTAACTGCTGTCACTGTAGCAGTCTGCCCAACGAACAGCATAACCATATGGATTTTTCATCATCACCACTGGTGATTTCAATCATGCAAATTTAAAGACTGTTTTGCTGAAGTTGCACCAGCATGTCACCATTTACTACAGGAAGAGAAAAGTCACCGGGACCTTGTTGTCGAATGCTAGTGGAAGAGTGCTTAACCACTGAAGTCAACAAAATGACTGCAGAATGTTACATTTGCTGGATCATATCTATGAAAAAAAGTGAATGGAAAAATCATTGTTTATATATTCATCTAGCATCCAACATGTTACTGTAGGGACTTGTATTACTGTTGACAACTTGAGATGGACGAGCGCTCAGCCTCAGCCTCAGCCTCCCACTGGTGCTGGTGTGACCTGCAGCAGTGCAACAACCAGATCACCTCCAGCTAACAATAAGTACACAGGTGCATGCAGATTATCAGCAATTGGTTTAACCGATATTCACAGAATGATAAAGTACAGTTCATATTTTCAGTGTTGTTTTTTTCCTTCCAGAGTTTCTGCAGCACAGTCCCTCAGCAGAAGGTTTGATAGTTCATTACTGTAGTTTCTATTAGTGTCAGACTAACTGGAAAATGCCTAGAATCACAATTAAAATGACCAATGCATTTTTAACATTGTTAGGGGGGGAAAAAAAGCTAGATTCAAATAATATTTCTTACATAAAACTGTTTACATTTGTTTTGTTGCTGTAGTGAAATAATAATACTTTTTAAACTAAACTTCTTAATCAGATTCAGTAAGTGGATTCGGAACTGGCTTCAGCTTTATTAAAATGCTATCGATCTCTAGGCAGCAGTCGACTGCCTCAGGCAAGAACACAGTACATTCCTCAATGCTTCAAACAAGAGTAGCTGCTAACCACGTCAATACCCAAGTATCCTAATTTGGGCGAAGTCTTCTTTTTAGCAGCTTTTTTAAAGCTATTTGTCTTTGACCACTTAAGGTCTTCATCACTGGAAATATCTCAGGATGGAAAATGAAAAACTGCAGCTTCACAGTTGCACATTTCACACATTTGTGTTAAACTATAATTGAACTGATGGACATTGCAAATAGTTTAAACCTAAGGCATCAATTGGTATGAAGGCTTTATATGTATAGTAGCATCTGACTACATTTCCCAGTGCACAGTCATCTATCGACATGATGTGATGTATGAAGTTCTCCCTGGGTCATGTGCTGGATCCATAAAGGCAGCTCAAGTCAGAATGGACGCAAAGTGCAAACAGCACCCGCAGGGCTTCGCTGAACAGAGTGTCTGCAGAGTTAAGTAAAAGATTTTATTTAGATCAATAGACAACACATTAACCTTTAACTCCTCAACAGAACAGGATCAATACATTCACACACTTAACTCACTCCACACGACTGCAGCAATGTTGCTTAGAAGTGAACAATCTGGACAGCTTAGCGTTTCCTTAAAGCAGGTCTAAATAAATGACAGGGTCATGCAGACAATGTGATTTCAAGGTGTCATTATTTTCACAGCAGCAGCTGCTGTTTAGATTCTTCCCACCGATTATGCAATGATGTGTGTCACTAAATAGCCAATGAGTGCACATCATTATGTCATAATTACCACCGTAACATAAGCTATGCATAGCTTATGTTACGGTGGTAATTATAAAAAAGCTTGGCTGCTTTTCAACCAAAAGACTAAGTTATAAGGGATGAAGACAAAGACACATATGTGCAGTGAAAAAGAATCAAAGCAGCAGCAGTTGCCATGTTAGTGGGTCAGGATGCCTCAACCCTATGGTAACATAACCTTACTTGGACTCTACTTAAAGTGACATTTAGGATAATGACAGTATTCAGCATCAGTTAGATTCTTACTATGCTCAAATTTAAACAGACTTGTACCTGTAAACAGTCTTATGATGTTCATCTGCCCTTGAATCTCTGGGGTATGCCTCACATTTTCCTGCTACAAATCTGCCAACAGCGCCCATTTGAACACACTTATCTCTTTGTATACAAATTGGTTTAAACCACAAAAGGACAACAGATCGCACTTATCTGGAGATGCTGTGCCTACATGTGTGTGAGTGGCAGGCACACACTGCCCGCAGATTGTCTATTTTAAACTACACTGTATAACAGAAGGTGATTTGTCGGAACAAAATAACTGTCAACATGTTAAGTTTTGTTACGTTAAATGCAGCGCCTTGGAGGAATACTGTTCCTAATACAGGTTTGCAAAGTGTTGGGCTGTTATTGCAGTACTGGGGTGGGATGACTAACACCACCAAACTCAACAGGTAAAAGGTGGCCACAACACAAACTGTGTACCAATAAACCCACCAACTCTTAGTAAGACAGCACAAAATGGAAACGTTACCAAACCGTCCTCACTTTTCCACTACTGTACTCCCACATTATTGTTTTAGGTCACATAGACTTCCTTGCTTAAATGGATGCAAACACCGTCCATGGATTGTTATAGACCATTCTCTTCACTCCTCAACAATCTTGACATGTCATCGCATCAGTTAATTTCACACTTCACTTCATACTTTGTGATTTAATGGGAAGCCATATTGCTGGGGTCTTGCACAGTCAGCCCAATCATTTTCACCAAGAATATGAAGTGGATGAGTCTGTTAAAAGAGATGCTGGAATTACTGAATGCGCTGTCAGATTTCATTGTGTTATAATTTTGGACTGCGGAAAGTACAAGGTAAGGTAGATAAGGTTAGGACATTGTCTGTCTGTGTGTGTATTTGCGCCTGACATAACATTATCAAAACCTGTTTACACCCACGACTGAAAGACTAGCTTATTTTCTGGTGCCACTGACTTTGAAGGTGGTCATGGGGATGCTGCTTTTTAAAGGATAAAGCCAGTCATTTTCAATGCTAATAATATTTTCATCAATCTACATACAAAAACAAACTGCCAGTCAACTGCCTCTACTCACAGTGAACGTCTGTCAGTCCTCAATCAGCTTGTTCGTCTGTGCCATAGACCTTGATATGATGAAAAACATCAGTGAAACACACTGCTGCACTGGGTGACGTTTCTTCATTAGCCAACCCCAGACACGAGCGCGAGAAGCTGGAGGAAAGTAAACAAAGCAGAGCACTCACAGAAAATCTTCAGGAAATTATGGGCACACTCAACCAATGGGGCCACATAGGAGGAAGCATGGAGTTTTGTAATAACAGTAGAAGCGTGTCACACAGACGAACAAGCTGATTGAGGACTGACAACTGACCGGCATTAACCTTGAATAAAGGCAATTCACTGTCAGTTTCATTCACTGTATGGAAACTGCTGAAAAGTACTATTGATATAAATGTCCATCCTTATCCTTTAAGCCCTAATTCCACACTTGTGTTGCATTATACACATTTATGTATGTGCAAGAGTGAATAAATACTTCTGAGTCTGTAAATCAAGCCATATGCATTACAGTTGATTGACTTTGGAGCGGTGGAGTACTTAGTTGTATCACGTTTTTCTGGTTGTGTGTCAAAAAGCGGCGAATGTCATCACCCAGTGAAATTGCATAACAACAAATAAAATAAAATAGCTGCGTCAAGAAACAAAGCTGAGAAACAGATTTGGTGTATGTAGTGCAAAATGACGCTCAGCTCCAGTTCATAGTTCGAACCTGGGTGACAACATCCACTTAGCGTAGTCGTACAACAACTACACAGAGGAAAGAAAAATCTGAACTTGGACCTTTTGAGAATGTTTTAAATTAATCTAAGACTGGCAAACAACTCCGGAGAACAAAAGGAGCCAAAAGTTTGCTTTATATCCAAACGCTGCCATCTTATTATCTTTAACAGAGATAACTCAAACTGACTCCCTATATGCACTGCCTGCATTAACAAATTAGATTTGAATCTACTGTTTATATCTACAACGTGCATCTTGCTATTTTGCAACAAAATGTAACACCTGTATAACACTTTTATGCTTGAGAACAATTAGCATTTTGCCTGTGTCTTAATATTCTCATAATAGAATTTCACATATCAAGTTTACCTAAAGCTATAAACTAAAGCTGAATGATGTCTACACACCACAACTATGACAGCACGCAAAAAGCTCCAATGTGGGAAAGAACATTAGAAATGACTTCTACACTTATGGACCATAAACATGAGAGCAAACTGAGATCAATGAGATTCCATTACCATCCAACCTCATTTCCCAGAACTGAATTGGAAACGGGTTAGAGATGGATCGTGTCATTACCAATTCTAGTGGATCCACAGGAGCCATAACACAGTGTGCAAGTGTGTGCACGGGTGCTATCTACACCCGCTGCCAATGAATAGGTTTTTAAGTGACAAGCAGGAAGGTGAGCAGGAGTTCATGAACTATCAGTACCATCTTAGTTTTTAATATGTTTGCCTCAAGATGCAGAGCTGCTGGAGGGTTTCAAACACTTTGACAACTTCTGGTTTGGAGTGTGAACAAGAATGTACTTACAGTTGCTTTCCAACAGTAAAAAACATCTTTTAACTATCATTTTGATGAAACTTAATTTAATCAGAGATGAGTCAGTGATGAATATTTGACTGATGGGGCCATAGACTGGGCCCACTCTGATTCTATACCTATGGCCATTCCCTGTCAAATTTCTTTTACCAAGATTATTTATTCACTGTGCCTGCCATTCAGCTCCATACAGCTGCCATAACAAGTGATGCATTATCATACCAATATCTAAATGGACCCTCACAAAACTAACAATGCAACTAAGGCCAGAAAAGTGCATTGAGAACTGTTTAATTCCACTAATGTTTTACCTTCCATATTCATTACTGTACCTCTACCTTTGCCAGATATTTTACTGAGCTAACCACAGTTCCTCTATGTAGACATGTCCTAAATAGTCTTAAATACCAAGGTACCAGATAAAGAAAGATTATACTATAACTCAGCCTGAGGACTCTGGCTGAGTGACTGTGACTGTGTCTCACTTGTAAACTGTGGTTAAAGAATATTTGACAGATTATTCATTTGATCATGGTGGTGTTAGCTCAGAACACAAACAGAGGCACTGCACATCCATTTTATAGGAAAACCTGTTGTAGAGACATGATATGAAACGCCTCTTTATAAGTTCACAAGATTAACTAGACTAAAAGTCTACATCTCTATTTGCACCTCTCCAAGCTGTAATATTTATTACACGCCATGACGCTAAAGCAACGTATTGATAGTTTTATCATTCACTGAGCCTTAGTTACACACTGTGTCCTGGATGCTCAAGTAGAAAACCACCAGTCAAAATACTTGAATCTGATGCATTTCAAAAGGGGACAATGCCGCACAGTGACTGCAGTTAAATCACGTAGTTTGTCCATTTTGACAGAGAAATGACAGGAGAATCACTTGGAACTAATTGTGTGGAAGTACACTGGCTCTCTGAGGCCAGGAAAAAAAAATGTAACAGTTGATAAACAGTTATGCCAGATGACATGCTGATGCCAATTCACCCAGAACACTACAAGCAAAATCCAATTTGGCATCTAACTTTGGATGCCTTCCTTACTGCTGTACCAGTGAAAGACGGTGTGGTGATGCATCTCACAGATCTGGTTTCACAGGGAAAGGCAGAGATGTCATCATTCTTTACATCACTCCTCTATGGCCAACAAACTAATTGCCAATAAGAAAAGTGTACACAGAACCACGAGTAAAATGAGACAGCAGCTGTCGCACTATGTAAAAGCCACAATGCTGAGAGAACTATAGTCAACAACAGTGATGACAGCTGGCAAGACAACAATTACACAGTACACATACAAGCCAAGAAAGAACGTCTGCAATCTCAGCGCTGTTCATCCTAATGTCAGCATCAGGACAGACAGATAAGAAAACCTGGGCACACTGACAAATTTTCACAACAAGATATGTGGGCCTCGAGTATGCTATCCATCCTATCTGCCTGACCAGGCTGCCATCGGCAACTACAGTTTAAAACAAATATCGGTTTATCATACAGGGACAAACATTTACAGCACAGACAGAAAATAATTGTCAAAAAGGGCCCAAGTTAGCCAAGTCAGGTGTTATTCATTTGTCATGCAAGTATCCAAAGATTTTAAAATTTAAGCCTAGGAATAAAAAAAAAAATGCTTTGGTATTCTGCATAATCCCAAACATAATGTTCACATCACATGCATAGTATTATACCATACATAGTGTTTAAAGACAGCTAGTTAATTTCATGAGTCAATTAATTAATAGTATTTTTTATTGATTTATTGACTTTTGCCTGGGATGGGGATGTTAAATGTGTTGAATATTGTTATGCCAACTGCCTGCTCTTTTTATTCATTATTAAGTATTATACTGTATTTTATTAGTTCTATATCCTGCAAAAAAAAAAAAAAGTTACTTTATGTAACTAACCCAAGGAAAACTATTTTCACACTGCATGTTTGTGTAGCACACAATGAACTGTGCCCACCAGGGAGAACATGAATCAGCTTTAGAGGTAAGAAATGAAAGAAGAAATAAATTATTATGGTCTGGTTCATTTTAATGGTTTGACAACACCTGGAGTTAATATTCAGTAGAAGAAGTGAATTTGAGCTAAGGTGTCATTTCTAATAATGAAGCGTCTCCTCAACAGTTTAATACTTTCACGTGAGAGAATATTTGTTGCAGAAGTCATCGGTCATTCATGTATGTAATCAGCTCCACAAATAGTTCAGAAGTCTGAATTAATGACCAAAAATGAACACAAACCCAATCTGACCACCAATACAAGAAAGCCTGGAGAAAACTTTAAACTGAGCTTGAACACCCTTGAGAAATTAATACGTCCCCCCCCTCAATTGTCAGTAAGAAATGAAACCAATTGTTTGCTGTACATGACTTGATTAAAAGCCATTTCTTTCTTAGGGTAACGCAACACATGTCATTTACGCAAAGTCGTTTACCAACCCGTGTGGGG